ATAATTTGATATGGCAAGCCGCTTTGCATGATTTACTATAACGTGTTGTGATTGCATTTTGTAGGAAAATACAGCAGCCAATTTACACACAGCAAGCAGAACTGAAGTAAAAGCCCAATTTTATTGCTGGCCAGGATACCTGGAGAAACTCGGAACAGGCAGGTTAACGTCTCATCTGAAAGATGGCACCTCCGACAATGTTGTATTCTCCCAGCATTGCAATGGAATATCAGCCTAGACTGAATTAAAAGTCTAAAAAGTGGGGTTTGGCCAATCGACCTTCCAACTGAGGCAGGCTTTATAAATAGGGGCATAGAGTACAAGAGTCAGGAGGTTATGATTAACCTATATAAAACACTGGTTAGGCCTCAGTTAGAATACTGCGCCCAGTTCATTGGAAAGGGTGCAGACGAGATTTTCGAGGATAGTACCAGGAATGAGGGACCTTGATTATGAGGAAAGGCACGAGAGGTTAGGATTATTCTCATTGGAGCAGAGAAGGTTACGAGGTCTTCAAAATCATGAGGGGATTTGATAGGTTAGAAAGGGAAAAACTGTTTCCACTGGTGGGTGTGTCAGTGACTTGAGGTCACAGATTCAAAATAGTCTCCAAAAGAAGCAGAGGGGAGGTGAGAAGAAATGTTTTCACGCAGCGACTTGTTCGAATCTGGAATGCATTGCCTGAAAGGGTGGTCGAGGCCGATTCGATAACTACTTTTAAAAACGCGGTGGATGGATGTTTGAGGAGGACGGGTTTGCAGAGTTATGGGGAAAGGGCTGGGGAGTGGGACTGACATTAATTGCTCTCTTTTGTGCTGTATGATTCTATGAATGCCTCTGTCTGAGCCAGGCTGACTCCAGAGGCACTTTGCTGATGGCTTAGTGGTAGGCGATCAGGCTCGGTTGGTATACCTTCTACCATTAAGTCGAGCGTACCGCAGTAGAAGGAAAGAAATACAATAATAATTTGCATTTATATAGCGCCCTTCATGCAGGACAGTGTCTCGGAGCACTTAACAATGGCGGACCTTGACACCGTGCTGGGGGGAAGTGACTGTAGGCATGGTTGAAGAGGAAGGTCTTTAGGTGTGATCTGAATACAGGCAAGGAGGAGGTGATGCAGAAAGTTGCATAGTTTCAGGGCAGAGCATGGCTGCCGATGGTGAGGTGGAGGGGACGAGGGACGTGCAGGAGGCTGGAGCCAGTTGAGCGGAGGAGGTTGGTTGTGGATGTGGGAGTAAGCAGTTCGGAGAGGTAGGGAAGTGCCAGGGCATGAAGTGATTTATATGCGAGTGAGGATCTTGAAATCTACTTGTTTTGCAAGAGGGAGCTAGTGGAGCCTAGCAAGGACTGGGGTGATGGGGATACAGAGTTTAGTGTGGGTGAGGATTGGGTGGCAGAGTTTTAATCAATTGTGTTTTATGAACAGTGGAGCTGGGGAGACCAGTAAAGAGGGCAGTGGTATACTTGAAGTGGGAGGTGACAAATGCGTGGGTAAGGGTTACGACTGAGTGTATGTGGTCATAGCCTAGCAGAGGTGGAGGAAAAGTTCCTGGTCAGGGACTGGATGTGGGCTCGGAAGGACAACTGGGAATTGAACCTGATACTTAGGTTGCGCACCCGTTCAATGAGTTTGAGGCATAGGTTTGGGAGGTTAAGGAGTTTGGAGCCGCAGTTAGAAGACCTTGACAGGAATTGCGGAGTATAACAGTAAAATTCATTCAGGAAGGGAGGCCAGAAAATTGGTAGCAAATAAGAATGAAAGTGACCAGGCCAATCACTGACTCTTATTTTTGCATCTAAGAGGATCATCGGAACTCTGTCCCTGAAATACTGCAAGGTACAAATGTGTGATCTCATCCTCGATGCTTGCAAGGGTTAAAGGATGCAGCTCAACTAACATTAAACAAACTAAACAACAACTTGCATTCATATAGCACTCTTTATAATAATAATAATAATTATGCGGGGAGCGCTTAACAGTGGTGGAGCCTGATACCGAGCTGGGGGAGGGAGAAGGAGGTGACCCTAAGCATGGTTGAAAAGGAAACTTCAGTCGTGATTGGAAGGAGGGGGCAAGGCAGAGGGAATGGGGAAAAGAAACCAAAGGTATCTTTGCATTCACGGCAATGGGATCTGATTTTGCACCCCCGTTGCTGCAACCAACCATTGTACTCAACGTTTACTATAAGGTTTGCTGTTTGGAGACCTCTTATTCCAAAAGGGCAGCCATGTAATGGTAAACCAGGAAATTAAAATAAATATTTAAAATAAATAAAAGTTTTAAGTACCCATATTTAAACATTGTGTACAGAGTGGACTAAATGACTACATTTCAGTTTGTCATGTAGCATCTTAATAGCTGCACTTTTTCTAAGTGTTTGCACTCAGCTAACTTTCGAGTCCTTACACAGCTGGAAGTACAGTACTAATGTGTTCCTGTGCAGTATTTCTTTTTGGGGGATAAACATCTTCTTCAGAAGTTAAAAGAAATGGAAGTAAATGCGTTATAAACCTATAAACTTAGCTAAATAACTTGTCTGTTCAAGCAAGGTGAAAGTTGTTACTCTAGTTTTCTGAATGCCTTTTGAGTGGCTTCAAATAGCTGTGGGTGACGAGACGCAGAGGACTAAGGCACTGTAATGTACACCCAATGAAAGGGAGTCAACTGCAGAATGATTGCTCCAGCAGATAAGTTGTATTAAGGATTTTGTTCAATGTTCCACCCAAACTAATTGCAAGAGAGTCTGGCCCTTGGGCACTTGGTTGCTGAGATGGATGAACTTTACCACCTGTAGAAACTTAAAACGGGAATGTTTTGCAGGAGCCCGATAAAGTACGAACATATTGTAACAACAAATTGAAGGGTGTGTGAATATGCAAGTTTTGTTTAGTTGAATTCCAGGGTGGGGGATGCACTTTTGCCTGTGGGTCAAAAAGTTGTGAGTTGAAGCTGTAGGATTTGTGTTTGCATTGAACAACCAAATTGTTTTTTTTAAATCTGAGGACTTGTTGGCTAATACACCAGAGTAAAAACTCCCTTTTGCATAGTATCATGAGATCTTTAACTGCACTCCGTTGCAGTACTGAGTGCTGTATCGTTGGAGTTGCTGTCGTTCAGAATCAACATTAAAACAAAAGGTCTACCTTCCTGTTTAGCTCATGGTTAAAGATCCCATGACATTATTTTGAAGAGAAGCAGAACATTTCTCTCGTGTCCAAACCAATATTCCTCTTAATTCTGCGGCTATATTGGCTCAATTGGCAGCACACACCTCCGAATCAGATTATGGCTTCAAAACCTATGTTGACTTTGAGCTGAAGGTCTATGTTGACAATGAAATGAAAAGGAAATTTTATTGGAGATTCCAAGGGTTCAGACTTTAAACCGTGGTCCTTTCCAAGTGTTCAGGTGAATATTAAAGATCCCATGACATTTGAAAATGAAAAGTTATTCCCGGTGCAATGGCTGACAATCCTCCAGATATAAATAAATTGTTTTTTTAGCTTCTGGCAGTTTGTGGGACATTGCTGTGTGCAAGTTGGCCGCTGCAGACACTACACTTTACAGAAAACTACAGAAATTGTATTCAGTGAGCTGTGAAGCTCTTTGAGACGTCCTCCTGGAGTGAAAGGTGCTATATAAATGTAAATTGTTGTTATTGGACACCATCCAATGCATTGATCATTGTTAGTATCAAGGTTCATAAAAGATTAATTGTTTCTTCCTCTCACTGATGTTTATAGGACATTGCTGTTTTCCTAATATTTAAGCTTTATGTAGCAGCAAGCGATTTACCTGGATCAGTATTGTCTCCCTTGATAATCTCAAAACCTTCAGTTAGGTCACTCTGACCCAACATTATTTCTTTTTCCTCTCAAATGAAATTCCTGATATATGGGATTGTTCTCGCTAATCATCTCTACACCTTCTTAAGGACAAGATTAAAACCTTTGGTTATTGCAAAATCAAGCAGCACACTGTTTTATTGAGTGATGCAAATATGAACCTTCGTCAGCCAGAGATTCACCTTCACTTAGAAGGTCCCATGTCTCCAGTTTGGAAAAAGATTTTTTTTTATGCAGTGAGTTATTATAATAATGATAATAATAATAATCTTTGTATTTGATAGAGCGCTTTTCACGTTTTCTAGACCACAATAAAAAAATTACATTTATATCGGGCTTTTAACGTTGGAAGGACGTCCCAAGGCACTGGATGTCTCAAAGCTCTTGACAGAATATAAAGTATATACTTATGTATATTTATGGATGAAACGCAGCCGCCAATTGTACACAGCCGTATCCCACAAACAGTCATGGATTGAAGTGACAAATTTATTATTGTTTTTTTCTTGAGGGATCATTATGAGGTGAGTGGAGTAAGGAAACTTGCCCAAGGTTTTGCCCTTCTGGGAATCGAACCCAGGTCTCTTGCCTGGGCCTGAGTTATTACAATCTGGAATGCACTGCCTGAAAGGGTGGTGGAAGTAGATTCAATAATAACTTTCAAAACGGAATTAGATATTTACTTGAAAAGAAAAAAATTGCAAGGCTATGGGGACAGAGCGGGGAAGTGGAACTGATTGCAGAGCTCTTTCAAAGAGTCAGAACAGGCACGGTGAGCTGAATGGCCTCCTTCTGTACTGTAGGATTCCAGCACCCACAATGTTTTCTGGTTGGGTGAAGACTAGGCAAATGCACGTTCGTGCTGCAGCAAAGATTTAAAATAGCTGTCTGGATTCACTAAAATATTAGAAATGTACAGCATAGAAGCAGGTCTTTCGGCACATCAAGTCTGGACTCTTCCTTCCCCAGAAAGCAGTTTGTTCCCCTGTATGTTGCAGAGAATATTTAAATTGGCTCTTTCTCTCCCCCCCCCCCCCCCCCCCCACACACACACACAGCAGAGTCTTTCAATAAGATATTTATAAATTTGATTTGGAATGTGAAATTGGCCACTAAAATGCTTCTTGTCTCTTGCGCTTGTCTCCTGACAGATAGTTCAAGGTGCTACTTGTGAGGGGTACGATACATCAGCCACAGAGACCGACGAGTAAGACCCGGGATGCAGCACGGAAGCCAGGAAATGCATGGGGAATATTGAGCCGGGGGCACAGGAGTCCTTCAGTGCTTGTTGGTGTGAGCAGTGGAAAAAAGGGACGATTACCATGGTAACACTAATCACAGAAAAGCTGCAGAATCAGAGTTTGGAGGATATTGCTTGCAAAGCCTACAGCATTAATCTGGTAAGAGTCTCACAACGCCTTTGGTCAATTTATGATTGTTGACTTAATCTTTCATTTTCCAGATTTTTCCCTTTGACATAACTGGTGTGTTTGTTTTAAAACAAACTATTCACTGGAAACCTGCCCTTTCCAGTTGCTAGCATCCTTCCCGCATTTTTAAACCAGAACTTTGCCAAGCCAAAGAATGGTGTCGTTTGTTCCCCCTCATGGTGAGGAATCGAAGACCCTGGTTTATTCTACTTTAGCTCATTCCTACCTGGGTAACAGGATTTTACCCTTCACAGCACTTTTATTCCGCTACGGTGAGTGAGCGAATGAAATCAGGATGCATTTTTTCACCCAAAGGGTAATGAAAATCTGGAATGCTCTCTTCCAAAAGGGTGTGGATCCTGGATCCATTCAAATTTTCAAGACTGAGGTGGACAGATTTTTGTTAAGTAAGCGTATCGAGATATGGGACGAGGGCGGGTAATTGGAGTTAAGGTACGGATCAGCCCGTGATCTAATAGAATGGCGGAACAGGTTGGAGGGGCTGAATGGCCTACTCCTGTTCCTATGAGCTTCAGTAATGGCAGGCCTGGCGCGGCTGGTTCTAAATTTGCCCTGAGAGGAACACTCTATTTCTGCAGCATTGTATTTAGCCCTCAATGGGCTGGCAGTTTCAAAGCCATTCATGCATCCCTTGGGAATTGTATTCTTGGGAATGGGTTTTTGGAGGCAGAAGTGTTTTCTCTGGCTGTTTAAACTATTCTTGTATTGGTCAGTATCGCAATCAGACTGGCAACAACTGTCAGGAAAGACCTTGCTAGTGTATTAAACCACCCCTTCCCCCATTCTTCTGATTGCCTTCCATGCCAGACTTCTCATGGTTCCACCATCTAAGCATTACCTTTCCTTAGTTGTAGAACACTGATTCTCACACAGTCCTTCCCTGTTGTAAGATTCCTTTCTTTCTGTTTCTCACATTCCCGCCGAATGTCATTTCTTGAGGAGGCAAGCAACCTGTTGCCTGGCCTCTGCCAGTTGTTGTTTATAATGCACAGAAAATTCACCTACAAAATATACAATGTATACTATAAATTAAAATTGGCAAAGCGCTTTGAGAACTCGTCCTGATGTGAAGGGTGCCATGTCAAATGCAAGTTTTATTTAACTTGGGCATAGGAGAAGGGTTCTGGGCTGATTTACCTTTTGATATATCCACCTTTGCAGAGGAGTTCTTGCTTGACCTCAACTCAATGACCATCTCTCCCGCTTTTCAGGGATAATAATCCCTTCCCAAAAAATATTTGGACACTCAATCCCGAATGTTTATGGAACACTGACTCTGTGCACAATTGGCTGCAGTATTTTGCCTGTAAAATACCCGGTCAATTTACTTATATATTCTGTGAAGTGCTTTGAGACATCTCAACACCACTATATCAAATCATAGAATTGTGCAGCACAAAAAGAGGCCATTCGGCCCATCGAGTTTGTGCCGGCTCTTTGAATAGAGCAATTAATGTCAATCCCACTCCCCAACCCTTTCCCCATAACCCTGCAAACCCGTCCTCCTCAAACATCCATCCACCGCGTTTTTAAAAGCCGTTATCGAATCGGCCTCGACCACCCTTTCAGGCAACGCATTCCAGATTCGAACAAGTCGCTGCGTGAAAACATTTCTTCTCACCTTCCCTCTGCTTCTTTTGGAGACTATTTTGAATCTGTGACCTCAAGTCACTGACACACCCACCAGTGGAAACAGTTTTTCCCTTTCTAACCTATCAAATCCCCTCATGATTTTGAAGACCTCTATTAGGTCTCCTCGTAACCTTCTCTGCTCCAATGAGAATAATCCCAGCCTCTCTAGCCTTTCCTCATAATCAAGGTCCCTCATTCCTGGTACCATCCTCGTAAATCTCCTCTGCACCCTTTCCAATGCCTTAACACCTTCCTATAGTGTGGTGCCCAGAACTGGGCCCAGTATTCTAACTGAGGCCTAACCAGTGTTTTATATAGGTTAATCATAACCTCCTGACTCTTGTACTCTATGCCCCTATTTATAAAGCCTAGTATCCCATATGCCCTTTTTACAGCTTTATCTACCTGTCCTGCCACCTTCAAGGATTCATTTACCTGAACCCCCAGGTCTCTCTGTTCTTCACCCCCCTTAAGATTGTATTACCAGCCTGTATTGCCTCCCCTCATTCTTTCTACCAAAATGCATTATCGCGCATTTCTCCACATTGAAATTCATCTGCCATGTGTCTGCCCATTTTACCATTCTGTCTATGTCTTCCTGCAGTTGGCTGCTATCCTTCTCACTGTTTACCACCCTACCTAACTTTGTGTCGTCCGCAACCTTGGAAATGGTACTTGCTATACCCAAGTCCACATCATTTATATAAAGAAGAGCAGTGGTCCTAATACCGATCCCTGGGGGACGCCACTGTACACTTCCCTCCAGTCAGAAAAGCAGCCGTTCACCACAACTCTCTGCTTTCTGTCTCCCAGTCAGTTCTGGGTCCATGCTGCCACTGTCCCTTTTATACCATGGGCTTCTATTTTTCTTACAAGTCTTTCATGTGGCACTTTGTCAAATGCCTTTTGAAAGTCCATATAAACTACATCTACTGCTCTACCTTTATCCACCCTCTTCATTACCTCCTCGAAAAATTCTATTAGATTAGACAAGATTAGCCTTTAACCAATCTGACCTGGCTGTCCCTAATTAACCCACATTCTTCTAAGTGAAGATTTATTCTGTCCCGGATTATAGTCTCCAGGAGTTTCCCCACTAGTGATGTTAGGCTGACTGGCCTGTCGTTCCCAGGTTTGTCCTTCTGCCCCTTTTTTTACAGGGAAGTAACATTGGCCACTCTCCAGTCCTCTGGCTACCACCCCTGTGTCCAATGAAGATTGAAAAATTGTAGCCAAAGCCTCCGTTATCTGTACCCGTGCATCCCATAGTACCCTTGGCTGCATCCCGTCCGGACCGGATGACTTATCTACCTTGAGCCCAGTCAACCTTTTCAGTACTTCCTCTTTGTTTATACTTATTCTATCCATTTCCACTACCCTCTCCTCCGATACTGCGGCATTTGGTGCATCCACTTCTTTTGTGAAGTCAGATGCAAAGTACTCATTCAGCACATCAGCCATGCCCTCTGCCTCCACAATAAGATTTCCCCCTTGGTCCTTAATTGGCCCCACCCAACCTTTGACTTGTCTTTTTGTTTGTAAAATATTTTAGAATTCCCTTTAATGTTACCCGCTAACCTTTTTTCGTATAATCTTTTTGCCCCTCTTATTTCCTTTTTCAAACCTCTTCTGCACTTCCTATATTCTATTTGGTTGTCTTCTGTATCTTGGGTTTGACATTTGTCATACGCCTCCTTTTTCTGCTTCATTTTAGATACAATTACCTTTGTCATCCAGGGAGGTTTGGAAGCCCTACTTTTCCTTTTTGTGGGAATGTATTTATTTTGTCCCCGAGCTATCTCATCCTTGAAGACTTCCCACTACTCTTTAGTTGTTTTACCTGCCAATCTTTCTTTCCAGTCCACCTTGGCTAGGTCCCTTTTTAACTCACTGAAATTTGCCTTCTTCCAAGTTGAATCAGAGATTATTATTTGCAATCTAACCTCCCCTGCGCAAAACTCCCCCCACTCCTGCCCCCAGAGTTTCCCTTCAGAGGCAGTACACATCCTAATACACTAGTCTTTGCAAGTTAAATTTACTAATAACCTGTAAATCTGATTGAAAAGATAGCTTTCTTGTACCGCGCAACCTTTTGAGGTCTAGACTCAGTTTCCACTCAGTCTGCATGTTAGACATCGGTTAGTCATCTTTATGAAGATTTCAAAAGCTAACCACTTAATTGGAATTTTAAGGAAGTGGAAGGAATGTGGATTCCAAACTATGAAGTCAAACGTTTAGTTTAAGGAAAATAATTAGCCCTTCACGAGTAAGCGGGTGTTTACATATTTTCATTTCTACTCGCACTTGCAAGGGTAAAACTGGCCACCCTTTGTTTTGCTGGGAGTTGACAATGTATTGCTCACGGACGTGTCTGTAGATAGTGTTGGTGCTGAAGTTAGCCACATATTCAGAGGCCGATGTTCCTCCCAGACACCACTGAAACGCTTAGGTTTTCCACTATACGAGTGCAGTATTGATTAAAGTTTGTAATGAGGCTTTGAAAATGAGCTAAAGTGCCACATTAAAAGCATCATGTAGTATCACAGTGATTTTTATGGCACCAGTGTTATGGCAAGTATTACTATCCCATTTGGTCTGTTAGGAATGCTAAAGACATCTAGACTGAGATCACCATTCTGTAAATGTTTCTTTTGTTTCAAGCTTTTTAATTCTATAATTGTAGAATACGGCACAGAAACAGGCCATTTGACCTGGTACAGGGTATACCGACCGGAAAGGAGGAGTGTACAGGACTGGAAACAAACTCTCACCCACCTTGACCCGCTTGTTTTATACACACCATGTTTCAAGTAACCTGCCATATAACGCACATAACACCCATCATCAAGACCTAAAGCTTTCCCCACAACTTTTGAACACAAGATGGTAATGAAGTGTAGGACCAGTAAGTTTCAACCACAAATGCAAGGAGCCTGTAAACAGCCAGCACTATACAGACACCATGTAAATATATTTGCATTACAAATTGCATTACAATGGTCCTTTTTTACACAAGAGAAGAGACTAAGAGAAAATGTAATTGAGATGTTCAAAATTATGAAAGGGTTTGATAAATAGACTGTTCTTCCGTGTAATATACCTCACACTGTCCCTAGTTACACTCCCAGTTTGCGCACAGCAATGTCTCAAAGAGCCATGGAATGAGGGACCAATTTTAGTTGGGGGTTTGTTGGCCAGGACACTGGGAGAAGCTCTCTTCTCTTTTCGAGTAGTGCCAAGAGTTGCAGTTGACATGGAAACTGGTGGGCTCGGTGGGCTGAATGGCCTACTCCTGTTCTTCTGTTGATATGGATGCC